TCAAAATACATAAAGGTGGATGGGTTACTTTTGTACTCTCTGCAATCTTCTTGATTATCATGTATGTGTGGCACTATGGCAGCAGGAAGAAGTATTTATATGATCTGCATAACAAATTATCCATGAGATGGATCCTTTACTCTGGGTCCTAGCCTCGGGATTGTTAGGGTCCCCGGGATTGGCCTCATTTATACAGAGTTGGTAAGTGGAGTTCCAGCCACATTTAGCCATTTCTTAACCAATCTTCCAGCATTTTACCAAGTGGCAGTCTTTATCTGTAACAAGACAGTTCCTGTTCCGTATGTCCCTCATAAGGAGAGATATCTCATTGGCCGGATTGGCCCCAAATCTTACCGAATGTACCGCTGCATCGTTAGAAATGGTTACAAAGATGCCAGTAAAGATGGAGATGATTTTGAAAATGACCTTGTTACAAGCATAGTAGAGTTTATCCAGCTGGAATCAGAAACTGCTGGGACATCGGATGGCTCTATGGATGGGCGACTGGCGGTTGTGAAGACATCTGAACAGTTTGGGAAAAGATTATTAAGGTCAAAATCGGTGGATATCAAAGAAAGTAGCAGCAGTTCAAGGCCTTCAACAAATGTGAGCAGTGGAAAATCAGCTGCACTGAAGAGGCTGCAGGCTGAATACGAGCAGGAACTACCCCAACTCAGCTTAAGAAGGCAGATTCAGTTTCAGCTGCTAGATACTAGATACAGAGATCCACTTGTGAAGGAAGAACTGTTTGAGCTTGTGGAAGCAAAGCATGCAGGGGTGTCGTACGTAATAGGGCACTCTCATGTGAAGACAAAATGGACTGCACCATTCCTGAAAAGGTTTGTGATCAATGTGGCGTACTCTTTCTTGCGTAAAAACTGCCGTGGACCTGCTGTGATCTTGAACATTCCTCATATTTGCTTGATTGAAGTGGGCCTAAACTACTATTTGTAGTGCAATATATTGGTGGCACATTTTCTAGGGATGTAAATGCAATCCATTGTATTTAAACGAGTTAAAACTCGATTTCCTCCTCATCACGTTCAGAGTCAATTATCTTCTTCTTTTTCCTTAATTGTTATTTTTTGTAGAAAGCAATTTCTTTTGATATTAGATACTGTGTGAACCATAAATGATTGAATTTGTTTTTGGTGAAGATAGGCAGCTGCTGTATGTGGAGCAGAAATTTTTGAATGAAGCAGCATTTTAGTTGCTCCTTACCCGTCCTCTCTTTGCTGAAATATGACGAGGGGACTTGGTTATGAGTAGGGTAGGAGTGATGGCGTTCCCTCTATGGTTGGTTAATATTCGAAATGAA